AGGGATTCAATTGTTATGATAACGACTAAAATTTAACTTGATTTGTACATCTAGGCTTTTATAATTTGTTTAAAATGATTAAGAGTTATGTTTGATTAGATTAGGAAGTTGTGCATTATTATTCCTTTAAAGCTAGAAAGGTTGTTGATCGATATAATCCCAATACTTAAATTTCAAATTCATGAGTCTCGATTATCAATTTCCGATATTCTTAGAATCAACATAACTTAGGCATGTTATTCTTCATTTGCGTTATTTCAATGCATCAGAACGGAAATTGATTCTGAACGAACATAAAGCGTGGAAGATGAAAAACATCAGCAAAAACCAAATACACCCTTGATATTATTTTCACATAGCGCAAATAAGTGGTATGTACACATGTTGTCCCTCTTCTACAGCAAACTTACTGCAATGGAATGAATATTTTGACTTGATAGAACTGAACTCGCAATCTACAAAATACTAGCGATGCAGGATTCGATCTGATACATCGAATAGAGCCACGTAAAATTTGATTTGAAGTCCTCAGTAGATAGATTCACAAGGCAAAGTATAATTTCACCCTAATACCGTCTGAAACGAGAAATTTCATAAACGAAGAATTAGCCAAGTTTAAAAAGTTTACGTAAACTGAATAAGTTACTTTCTTTGACGGTATGATAGGAATTATTTTCAGATGAATTCACTTTTTTTTTTCCTGAAAGTGTATTAGAGCTTAAACAGACATGCTCTTATACTGTATAGTTCCCTTCAATACCATATTTCATTTACCTCATGAAGCATCAAATAAGTTGCACAACAGCAGCTATTCGCAAGGCCCCGTCTTGGAGAAGATCCCCAAGCTCGTCGAATAACAAAGCTGTTCGCCAACCCCATCCCTTGGGCGCTTTTGGTAGAAGTGTTCCTGTTTGTTTAAAGCTCCCAAACACCATTACTTCTCTTTTCGATGGACAGATCAACTGAAAATATAGGAACAAACACATTGGCCTCGCAACAAATAATGCAATATACTTGTGGTGAATAGTTAAGAGTTAGTAAGTTCACCTGATATCTAGCGGTAACCTTCTCACGAGAATCCACATACATATGGGCCTGAAATTGAGGAAAACGGGAGAGGTAGAAATTTAATGAATCATGGACAAGCATTATTAGTTCAATTTTCACAGCAAAGAAACAGAAGGAAAAAGGCAGCAGATATTTTGGCCAAAACTCATTAGGCTTACCCGTTGAAGAGGTAAAATATGATTATAAAATAGAACATCCTCTAATATGAAACCAAAATAAAAAATCCATGTCTCAATAGGCCAAAAGAATGTTGACCTTTCTAAGTGGATCACTGATCTCTGCCTTCCTCCTGTGGAGAAACAGACCTGAGGGACAGATACTAATATGAATTACACCATTCAAAGGCAGTAACACAATTTTTGAAGACAATTTTAGTATGATTCGAAGTTTTCTGAAGTACCAAGAGTACGGCGTCCTTGAGGATCTTCATCACTAAAAGCGTGAACACTAACCTAAACGATGCAAGAATCCAAAAATCAGAATTGTCTGATACCAATAGAAAGAAAGGATTAAAGGCTCTTCAATATCAAGAGGCAAAAAGGAAAGAAAATATATTGGGTTAGTATTCTAGAACCTTCCACAAGGAACCAGCATAAAATACTTCTGGAGAGTGCTTAACTTGGCCATCACTGAGCCTGTGCACATCCTGAAACTCAACCCTGAAAAACAAGTGGAGGTCAAAATTATACAAGGGTTCTGTACATTGATTTCAGTAATTGATAAACATCAAGTTAGGGAAAATAGAAGCTGGGTCTACAGCATTACATCTTTCCAACCATAACTTTCACCCACTTGGAATAAACCCTCAAGTGGTTATAAAAAAAGAAATTCAGCAATTTTCTTTCTGTTCTAAAACATACATTTTATCTCTCTTTCAGAGAGAAAAGTGACTAATCATTTAAATTGATAGAAATTTACGAAGTGGCCAGTAGGTTAACTGTCAATCCAACAATCTTCTTAACCAGTTCAGAGTCCAGACATTCAGTCAAATGTACTCACCAAAATCAGTTCTTAAAATTGTAAATAATAGGTTTTCAAGCATACATGTCAATGGCAACTATAGAAGAGAAGATGACGTACGCAAATCGGAAAGGAGGGAAGTGACTCAACGGCGTCTTCAGATCTAATGATATAGAACTATTAGCATTCTCCCACTCAATTCCAATGGCATGCTCAGATGAGTCCATCATTTGCACAGGAATACCACCCGTACTTTGCCCACTTACCAAGGATCCTGACAGTCTTCTTTGCTGATCTGTCTCGTACTCTCGTTCCGTTTGCTCCCCTAGAATGCTAGATGCATTATTTGCTCCCTGACTGAGCCCAACCAAAGCCGTCAAGCCATCACCAGCAAAGTCCCCATTGTTGTCACCTCTATTCTCTGGGTCATCATTGCCAAGAGATTGCTGACTGTGCCGGTTGCCCATACCAAATGGTACACGAGAAAAGACGTAACGCGTTGGAGGCCAAGCAGCTGCAGGCACAAATGTAGTTCCACGTCCAATACCAGCTAGCCCATCATTAGGCCCCCTGACATGTACCCTTACGGGCCTAAAAGGGCCATTTCTTTCTCCTTGGGCAGAATTAGTTACATACACATGACCTACATCGTTGGATAAATTACTGTGGTCGTGCTCTTGTGTGTAGTATCCACTTGCAGTAACTCCACGTGAATATCCAAATGGCTGTCTACACGTGCATGCCATACTCCTAAGCCAGCAATTTTTGCACGTATCTCCACCAATTTCTTGCACCCGCTGGCTTAAGAGCATCTACAATATGCATGCAATTTCCAAAGAGAAAATAAACATAAGGTATATATAGAAGATTGAAATTATGTAAATTTATGTGTTGAAAGTTCAAGACTTATGATGCAGACGGATCTGCAAGAAATAACTCAACAACTTTGTCAACGATATTTAATATTTCACATTACAAACATTGTTAGGGACATTAGACATATTTCTGCATTAATCCAAATCATGAAATAAGATTGAAGTCAAGTTCTTAGTTTGCAATAAACAAATAACCACCAAGGAAGAACTTTGCTCATCATCCACTGAGCATGAATAGCTGGAAAAACACAAAGTATACGTGAATTCAGTTACGCACCTGCAACCACAAACCATCGTTCACAGCTTTGCAAGGGAAACCTATTTCTTCAAGTCGTTTTCTCACATTCAAGAGCGCCTCAAAGGACATGTTACAATATAAAAGAGAGCCGCCTTCAAAAATGTTCACAAAAGCATCATAATCTTCCCTGCTCACCCCACATTGCCGTTTTAGACAAGTTTTCACCTCTCTTCGACCCACAATCCTACCACCCCATGACAGAGGCTGCATGTTGCATCTTCCCCATTCATTGGGTATCAGCATATTACAGGAAGAGTTCATAGACATGCAGCGAATTTGATCTCCTGGAGGCCAACAGTTGTTCAATTGGTAGCTTGAATCTTCATCAGATGGCCCTTCCATGGTTACACCATTGCCCATCGATCCACTCATTCCACCGCCAATTGGCATATTTAGATAAGAACATGAGGTGCTAACTTCATCCGCGTATGCTCTGTTACTTGCTGAAGGTCGTTCAGTGCTGATTTGGTATCTTGACTCCAAGTTTGATTGACTGCATGCTGACTTTTGCACCTGTTGCTTACAGTTGGCAACATCAGAATGGGAATCCACAACACAGTCCACAAGCTCAACCAAGATATTATGAGCAGTATACTGGCTTTCAGCTTCATCTTTCAATTTTCTTAACCCTTCAGATTCCAGCATGTCTTTAGCGCTCCCATCAACTTTTCCCTTCTTTATATAAGAATCGGAATGAATACTTGTTGCCGCATCAGAATTTGAACTTCCTTGCTCATGGTGTTCTGCCTTGCAAAGGGTACCTTTTGCAAGAAGAATGCATAATGCCAGCTCAAACCTGCATCAGAATTATCAATAGTTGTTGTAAAAAACAAATTACAGGCATCTGTCTTTCCTCACCGTTTCTCTTCACTAGGCACCCATAATTCATCTGAGGTGAGCAAAGCATGTAATGTTTGAGGAGAAAGTTTTGGAAGCACCTAATATTTATAAAAGGTTAGATGCAACACATTAACATCCTAATAAGGGAAACAGAAGACAAAAGGAAACAATTGCCAAAGTTCATATAACATCACTTTCAAAATATTTTCAACACTCTACCTCTTTTAATTCCCTGGCACCACTTTGACAGAGGTATCCCCAGCAAGCATTTCTAACTCGCTCTCCATGTATACCATAATCTTGGTTCTCAGCAAAAACCTAATTCAGAATGGGCATGAATACATAATAAATGTGGTTTGCATCCGATGAACAGTGAATGCTATAACGCTTAAAATTTTAGACCTGATATGCTAAGAAGTTTGAAGTCCATAATTCAGATATGATGAAATCCGTGCAAATTGCGCATAAATCCTGCACATAAAATATCAAAGATGTAATTTCATGCATGGGAAGCCAATTGATAGTCAAGCAAAATTCAGGCCACAGGGCTCCACTCCACGTGCTTGACCAAAGAAACTTTGAAAAAGTGACTGATCTAGTTCAGATAGTCTGAGATTTTTTATTTTTTTGGTCAATATTTGGTTGATGCTAAATCTTTAATTTGGTGCGAGGAAAATCATTCTGGAATGTTGAATAGTCCATGAAATTATCATATAATATTGACTTGAGATTAACTCTTGGCAACTTGCAAAACCTCATAATTTTAGCGTTGATATCATAACTCGTTCTTCAAACATCCTATGGGACCAAGCCTACTGACACAAGAATAATGCATTTGAAAACTCATTCCTAAACCAATGGGCATTAACACATCAAAATGGAACCCCCTATCAAACTAAAAGGACTCGTGAAAGTAATATCCATAATGATGAAGCATCTTAAATTCATCAAAGTTCGAAACAGGAAAAATGAATACTTTGGTTACAGACCAGTTTCCTATAAGCCAGAATAGAGAGTAGAGGTGAAGAATCCATCCATTTCACTGGAGTGAAGTGCAAAATTGCTTTTGCATAAACTGAATCTCTAACCAGCAATGATGATTTTAATAGGAGGTGGGTATTTACGGTTAGCACTGGATACCTGAAGATCAAGAAAAGATGCAACAGCTAGAACTCGAAATGCATTATTCTCGTCAAGCTTAGGGTGGTGTCCATAGAGATATGCCAAAGCTGTAGCCATTGAATCCCCATCTACATTGTTATCATCCACGTGCAAGGTCAGAACAGGAGCATTGGCTTCTTTCCAAGGGCCCTGAAGCATGTTTCTGCAGATTAGAATTGGCAAATGTTAAAAAGTCAATACTTAAATGGTTTGACAGAAAGGAAAAATTTACAAAAGACGTGAAACACTAAGGCACTATCACGTGACTATGTATAAGACAACAATGAGTTTAGTTTCTCTACTTCTTGAGGACATCCTAGGAATTCATCAAAAGCAAAAATAATATTAAACATAAAAATTAACTCCAAAAACAAAATATACACGCTGAACTCAAAAGTCCAAAATTTGAATGATATTATGTTCTCCTAATACACTCTTACAAATACCACAAGATTCAATATGCAGACTGGAAATTGCACCATTTCCACCTCCTTGACAACAAGCATCATAGATGGCAGTATTTATTTGCAACTTCCCCTTCACTAACATGTTTTCTGATATCAACAACTATCTATATCAACTCTCTTATTAAATAAGCACATGTTAACGAATCTCCTTACCATTTTTCTTTCTGACTATCTAACTTTTACATGGCAATACAAAATTACTGTTTAGTTTTCAACATTCACCATGTTGACTGATAATGATGCTACCTTTTATTTTCTACAATGCATTAGAGAAGTTTATCAATACAAACAAGGCTGCTAGCTCATTTCAAATTCATTCTGTAAGACAAGAATAAAAATGTTAGATAGCTTGCAACTGACAATTCTATGGTATGTATGCAACTAGTAATTAGTACAACCTAACGAGCAACATTCTTTAGAACCCCAAAACTACATTAATAGGTCAATCAGTAAAATCTCCTTTTCTCATATCTAACAAACTTTTTACGAGAAAAATCTCACTTTCTCATAAAACTAATCGCCAAACGATTAATATCTCTTGACCATTCTCCACCACATGGAAAAACAACACAAACTATAAAACAAGGAATGTATAACAAAATACAATAACCAGACATGCCCTCAGAGATATAGATGAGCCTATATTTGCATAAATTTTAACCCAAGTCCAGTTAAGCAAATGGCATGTATTCAAAGAACCTCACAGTAGTACATTTTAGAGTAACTATTAGCTTGCTCGAACCAGTATTTAAGAGTGACAAGTTGAGGGATAGAAAAAGAGTAATGCTACTACATAGCACCACCACCAATCTAAGTGGCGATGTAGTGATACTGAATGATAGGTCTAATAAAATGGGCCAACATTTAATTGGAAATATCATTTAATGTCCTCGTGTTGCCACTTAGACCAGTGCTAAACCATAGTGGTGCTACACAGCATTACTTCAAAAAAAAAAGGGCCATTTTTAAAACCCCTTAAACTAAATCTTACAATTTACAAAAAGAACCTTAAATGTAATGTAATACACAAACCAACCTACTACATAAAATTGAAAAATCAGCAGTATCACAGTGCAAAGAAGGTACCAAATTAGTATTATGGGAGTAATTCAGTATAACCCACTAACTGAAATAAAAATCCATGACGCAACTGAAAAATCATAACCATATCCTCCCCCAATTGTAAAAACACATTAGCACGAACAAAAATAACTCAACAATCAGAAATAAACAATACATATAAAGATTTCACTTTTAAGAGTTTTAACGAAATTGATATCGTTCTGAAAGTAAAAAAAATATATATATATATAGCATGATTTCCGAAAGTAATTCCTTTTTAATTTATCAAGTTTTAAGAATAATATCCATAAAAATAAGAAATTTACGATGAAATCTACTTCTCCGAAAAAACTGTATCTCCCAAGAGCTTGACCAAAGAGAACAAACCGGAAGTAAGAGCTTCGGGAGAGGATGAGGCGATGGAGGTGGTAGACTGATCCCATGGAGTGTACGACGACATCGGAGAATGAGCCATTATTGAATCCCTCCAACTGGATGTGGTCACACAGTGAAGTTAGGTTAAAATCCAGTTGAGCCCGAAGCTCCGCCCCGCACCTGTCTTCTTTGACGTTATTGTCATCTTTCGCCAATTCAACCGAACCGCCGCCCTCGCCTCCACCGTAAGGGCGGGGGTTGTGATGTTGACTGATTCTGAAGTGTTGCGGTCGCTCCGCCGGCGTAGGTGGGGCTTCCATCGTATATATATGCGTGTGAACGTATATATGAAGGTGTAGTGATCATGGGATTTTCGAAGGATATTAATGGAGACTGGGAATGGGATGCATTAGAGGGCTGGGACTTGTGATGAAGCCCCTTGATTATGGTTTATGAGACATTCTACCACTCATCTTTTTTTCTTTTTCTTTTTGCATAAATCGACCACACTACATGACACATTTTATTAATTACGAAAAAGGTAAATAAAAACTTATCTCATCCAAATACATGGAATACACGTCTACCTTTCGAACATAATTTCAGAATTACTTTATCAATCCATCGAATTCCACATGCCGTCGTGGTGAAATTTTGGATAGAAAAGTGTTTGTGAACTCGTATCGGGGTTGGAAGAACTCATGAGCTATAATTTCCAAGCATGGTTTATTGGTGATTGATCAACTCAACGTAGATAAAAGGGTCAGCTTCTACATGGTGTAATCACCTAAACTTAGGTTCTACATAATGCAATCACCTAAACTTAGGGATATAAATGAGTCGAGCCGAGCTGACTTGCAAGCCGAATATCGTAGCTCGATTATGACTTAGTCTTTTTTTGCCCGGGCAGAGTTGAGCTTCTCAGGCTTTTTTTGCCTGGGCAGAGTCGAGCCAAAGCTCGTCCAAAAAATCAAGGCTTGGCTCGAGCTTTTCATATGGAGTTAAATATTAGATTGAACTATTGTTTGGTTCTCATTTTCAAAATACATTTTTCTTTCTTTTATTTCCTATCACATACTCATCAATAAAATAATATTATACTCAAACCCAAAAAAATTTCTTATTTTTTAACAACACATTCTTCGTCAAAATATTGTTCCAAAATATATTTTGGACAAAATATATTTTGGAACAAAAAATGAAGCTCAAACAGGCACTCAAAAAGGTTGGAATTTGTTGAGGAAGAGAGACTTATGAGATCAATGAGATGGCTTGTTTTCATGTCCAGCCCTATTCAATATAATCTACGAAAATATAAACATGTTCATTATACAAAGTAGTACCTAGTAGTATAAACTTTACGATTAGAACATATGCCCATTTGACAATCATTATCAAAAAATCATTTTTTCTACATACTCATTTTCAATCACACAATAAAATATTTTTTTACGTAAACCCAAAATATTTACTTATTTTTTAACTACACATTATCCAAAAATTTACTATTTAAAACTTTGTTTTTGAATTTTAAAGGCCATCAAAGAGGAGCTTAAATCTTAGTTTAATTTAGTTTTTGACTTATTTTTCTTGGCAACACCACCATCAAACCTTCTTGGGACTTAGTTTTCCCCAGGTAAATTTTGTTTATTTAACCTCTGTTTGGTGCCCATTGTTTTAAAACTCTTTTTATTACAAAGATCATTTTCAACTTCACAATCACACAATAAAAACTTATATACGTAAATTCAAAATTTTTTCATACTCACATATTTTCCTAAAAATACTATTCAATTTTTTAAATTTATTTTTCGAAATAACGAGCATCAAACAGGGACTTAGTTGTTAAAAGCCAACTTTTAGTTTAAAGATGAGACAATTTTAAACATAATTTTCTTAAAAAATAGTGAATTCTTGTTTTAACTTCTAACATTCTCCAAATCCAAACCTATCCCTCCTTGCTACTATTGTCCCTTTCCCTTGCCCTTGACCATGCCCTTCCAACACCAACCTGGCCATCCTCGTCTCCCCGCTTCCTCTAACGATGCTTTGTAGAAGTGCGATGTTGATTGTCAAACAGTTCTGCTACAAGCACAATTTTGTTGATAGTGTTTGAGGTGATCAACATATTTGTAATTGATTTAAAATAATCAATATACACAATTTTTTACAGCTCATTAAACGTTAACAAAATTGTACATTTTGAATGTACAAATAGAATAATTCCTTGTCAAATGGATAAAATTTGTCCACAGAAGATCGACAACGCCACAAAAATTAAATGACTCCGGGAGTAATAATGTCAAGAAAATAGATTGCGAAATAAATTATCTCACTCAGAGTCGGATTAACTTTGAACTATTTTAGTCCATAGCAATTACAATTTCGTCTACAAACGCTTTCAGGTATCCCCAAACTCCCAGCACCTCCACACCCAATTCCCCTCGCCACTCTCCGCTGCGCGGTCTGCCTTCCACTCCTTATAGAACTATCTCCACCGCCGTTTTATTCCTAAGAACTCTCTCTATTCATAATTCCCCATCTCGAGGTGATGCTCCCAACTGAATGATTAATGATTTTTTCTGTTCTAGTTTTGTATGTTCCTTCGATCATATTGGTATATTAATGTTTTATGTACTATATGTATGTAGACAAGTTACTGAATTTCTTTTTGCTTGTGCATTTGGCAGGTTCACTGTTTGATGACTGGCCTCTCAATGTTTACAATAACAGAGATTATGGGCAAAAGGGTTAAGTAGTAACAGCTCAATTGTTCAAGAATGAGGACCCTCATGATTAACCGAGGTCGTTGACCTAAAAAAATTATTTTTTTCTTTTTACTATTAATTAACTGTATTTTATTAAGATAATGAACAAATTGTATAGTTATTTTCCCATATTTTTTTCCATCCCTTTGAATTTGTTGCCTTTTGTTATGTATTTCTGCTTTTTTCGGGGCGGGCGGGGAGTATGAAATTCTTATATTATTCTGGGTTTAGCTGCTTCCATTTTGTTTTGTTTTTTTCAGAATATTTAAGTACCTCTGTGCTTTAACATGTTGCTGCAGGGTTATTATATAAGTCGCAGCTCAAATCCTTTCACCTGCATAAGTTTTGTAAGAGATTCACGTTTTCAAATAATGGACCCTCCGATGTGGTAGAGGGGTCTGTTTCTTTTGCTAATATGGGAAACAACGACCCCTCTGATGAGGGAAAAGGGGCTGTTTCTTATGCTAATGCGGGAGGGGGTCAAAGTTCGAGAAGATGTGAAAGTTTTAGACGAGGGTTTGATAATGTGATTCAAATTCTAGAGAGTGGTCCTTGGGGACCTTCCATAGAGAAATCTTTATCTTTGTGTGATGATAAACCCCATACTGATATGGTCATTGGAGTCTTGAGGAGGTTGAAGGACATTGATTTAGCTGTAAACTATTTTAGGTGGGTTGAGAGGATGACTGATCAAGTGCACTGTCCGGAAGCGTACAATTCACTCCTTACAGTAATGGCCAGGAGTAAGAAACTTGACTGGTTTGAACATGTTTTGGCAGAAATGAATCTCGCTGGATTTGGCCCGTCTTTTGAAACTTGTGTGGAGCTAGTGTCCAGCTTTGTGAAGAGTCAAAGATTGAAAGAAGCCTTTGATCTTATCCAAACCATGAGAAAGTTTAAATTCCGCCCGGCATTTTCTGCATACACAACTCTTATAGGTGCACTATCTGCAGTTCATAAGCCCGATAGCCCGGAGCTCATGCTAACCCTCTTTAATCAGATGCAGGAATTAGGATATGAAGTTAGTGTACATTTGTTCACGACTTTGGTTCGTGTATTTGCCCGGGAGGGCCGGGTTGACGCTGCTCTTTCCCTGTTAGATGAGATGAAGAGCAATTCCTTTGATGCCGACATTGTTCTCTATAACGTGTGTATAGACTGCTTTGGCAAGGTTGGCAAAGTAGATATGGCTTGGAAATTCTTCCACGAGATGCAATCCCATGGCATCACACCTGATGACGTGACCTATACTAGCATGATAGGAGTACTCTGCAAAGGTAATAGACTGGATGAGGCTGTTGAGTTGTTTGAGCAGATGGAGCGGGATAGGACTGTTCCCTGTGCGTATGCTTATAACACAATGATCATGGGTTACGGATCCGTTGGAAAGTTTGACGAAGCCTATAATTTGCTAGATAGGCAAAGATCGAAGGGGTCCATACCAAGTGTGATAGCTTATAATAGTCTTCTTACTTGCCTTGGGAAGAAAGGGAAGGTAGACGAGGCGTTAAGAATGTTTGAGGAGATGAAAGACAACGCTATGCCTAACCTTTCTACTTATAACATTCTAATAGACATGCTGTGCAAGGCTGGAAAACTTGATGCTGCTTTTGAAATTCAGAATGCCATGAAGGTAGCTGGCTTGGTTCCAAATGTAATGACTGTTAACATCATGATTGACCGATTGTGTAAGGCTAACAAACTTGAAGAAGCGTGTTCTATTTTTGAAGGCATGGATCGTAAAGTCTGTACCCCAAATAAGTTTACATTTTGTTCTCTGATAGATGGCTTGGGTAGGCACGGCAGAGCAGATGATGCTTACAGATTATATGAACGAATGCTAGATTCTGGTTTATTACCAGATGCAATTGCCTATACATCCCTCATAAAGAACTTTTTCAAGACCGGCAGAAAGGAGGATGGACACAAGGTCTACAAGGAAATGGTCCGGAGAGGCATTTCTCCAGACCTTACGCTACTTAATACCTATATGGATTGTGTATTCAAAGCTGGTGAAACAGAGAAAGGCAGAACTTTATTTGAGGAGATCAAGGCTCGATTTTCTCCAGATACACGGAGCTATTCAATACTAATCCATGGCCTCATAAAAGCAGGCTTTGCTCGTGAGACATATGAGCTATTCTATGCAATGAAGGAACAGGGATATGTACTGGATACTCTTGCATATAACACTGTAATTGATGGATTCTGTAAATCAGGTAAGGTAAATAAAGCTTACCAGCTTTTAGAGGAGATGAAAGCAAAGGGCCTCCTACCTACTGTGGTTACTTACGGTTCTGTTATTGATGGGCTTTCTAAGATTGACAGGCTTGACGAAGCCTACATGCTCTTTGAAGAAGCAAAAGCAACTGGCGTGGAGTTAAATGTAGTGGTGTATAGTAGTCTTCTGGACGGATTTGGGAAGGTGGGTAGAATTGATGAAGCGTATCTAATTATGGAAGAAATGATGCAAAAAGGTTTAATGCCAAATGTTCAAACATGGAATTGCTTGCTTGATGCACTTGTAAAGGCAGAAGAAATAGATGAAGCCCTTGTCTGCTTCAATTCGATGAAAGACTTGAAATGCACACCCAATGCCATAACATATAGCATTCTCATAAATGGCCTCTGTCGGGTGCGGAAATTTAACAAGGCCTTCGTGTTTTGGCAAGAATTGCAAAAACAAGGGATGAAACCCAATACAATCACGTACACCACCATGATATCTGGGCTTGCCAAGGCTGGTAATATATTGGAAGCCGATAAACTCTTTGAGAGGTTCAAAGCAAACGGAGGTATACCCGATTCTGCTTGCTATAATACTATGATTGAAGGTTTGAGCCTTGCAAATAAGGCAATGGAAGCATATCAGTTGTTTGAAGAAACACGGTTGAAGGGTTGTAATATATATACCAAAACTTGCGTAATACTTTTGGATTCGTTGCACAAAGCTGAATATCTCGAGCAGGCAGCAATTGTGGGTGCTGTATTGAGAGAAACAGCCAAGTCACAGCATGCGGTAAGATCCTTATAACGTTAGGAGTGTCTTATTGTCGATGATAAAGGTAGCATTTCACTTTGGTTACATACTTTTGTCCCCCTCAACTAGCCAAAAAATTGTAAGCGGATGGGCTAACACTGGCTTGCGAACATTTATTATACAAGCAATTCTGTCAGAAAGATTGCACTCAGTTCCCATGGGAGCACTTTTGAGTCCATTGTTCAGATATCACAAATTCAAAATTCACTTCTCCTTATTCGTTGACCGTCTTCCCTTGTATCTTCATTGATATCTCTTCTTTTAAAATAGTTAAGAACTCAAACTTCTATGTTCTTCTATAGCTCCTAGTCGGTCCACATTCTCGTGACTATCCAGAAGTACATTCATAGACATTACACACATATACTATTTCATACATCCTTTGCAAGTCCATGGGAATAGATGGACCAATAGACGCTATCACATTTCCTTCTTTTCTGGGGGATACATGGGGGGTGGAGGTGGGTGGGTGGGGGTGCTCAGGGGGTTCTTCTTCCTTTTTGTGGGAAACCTGCATGTTTTGCAGTTGTTTCAGTTGGCCGCATGCTGTTATGCATCAGTCTCTCTGCTCATCTGCGGAATGGTGAACACTCGAAGAAGAGTTTATCTAAAGCTGGCGGTCAAATTTTGAGAACTTCTTGTACGACCCTGTATCAAACATTTCTTTGTAATTTCTTATTTATGCCTTCAATAATTGCATGCTAGCGGGCGTGCAGACACAAAAGATTATATTTTTGTTGTCGTCAATTCCTTATTAACCTGCCCAGGAATAATTATATGAATTATCGACGTCATTTATATGCAATGTTTCTTGAAACTTTCTTGTTCATCAGCTGGTAATTGAACTTTTTACAGCTTGTGATCGGATAATGGACATATCATGCTTTTATGCTTTTGTTATGGAAAATGGGCATTCATTCTGCGAGTGTTTGATTAATTTTAAACTTAGAATATAAAAATTTGATTTGGCATCGCCCTATGACAATGCATTTTTATGATTGCCCAGACGGAAGCATGTAGGATTAACATATTTGGCATGTTGAATTGATATAAATAGAGAGAACAATCTACAAATTCTATTATATATCTGATATGGGTATCACGGACAAAATATAAAGACACGATCAATAATAATTGGAATAAGGGTAATTATATTACCACCATAAAAATTACTTATACATCACGTTATATCCACATCACAATAAAAACATATTTTTAATAAATATAATTCTCACCTCCCACCACATCCTCAAAGGAAATAATGAATTGTTAATAATTGTGGTGTCTATAAAATTTATTTGATGTTAAAATATTTATTTAAAAGTGTGGTTAATTACGTAATTTTAATGTTAAAATATTTATTTAAAATGTTAATTAAAATTGTGGTGCAACAAATAAATTTTGCAGTGGTAATATAATTATCCTTAAAATAATTATTCAGTAATTTGTAGCAAAAATTGGAAGAAGAGATGAGAAAAACATATTTAATAAATTCAAACATAGTATGATCAGATTTTATATCCTTTCTAATTGAGCTTTGAACTCTTATAGTCGAGCTTGATATACCTTTAGAACTTGTCTGGAGCAGTTTTTCAGAAGAGAAAAATCAATTTTTGGACCTTTGCAAGTCCAAACCAACCATCTTTGTTGACTTTTGCTCTCACGTTGTGTCTCACCTGACATTTAAATGGTCAAAAAAGTGCTAATAATTGAGGAGAAAAAGCTCCACTAGACAAAGTCTTAGAGCGTGTTCGGTCATACTTAAAATCCAATTAAAATTGAAAATATAATCGTTTTGGGTCCCACTCATCTAATAAAAGGCAACAATAACGACTAATTTTTCAATTTTAATCATATTTTAATCTCTACCAAATAGGCTTTTAATATAAAAGAATTTCGATCTATAGCATGACCATTCGAGGCGCGATCCTAACGTTATAAACTTTCTTGGCCCATTTCCCCATTGCATGACATTTTTGTAAATGTAAAGCCAAAAATTGACATTTAGTATAATTTCCTTAATTTTCTTACACGATGTTTGAAAATATTCTCCTTATTGTGACTTTAGACTTTAGTTGACAAGGATACATAGGAAAATTAATAGAATGATAAAGGTTGATTTAAAAAGTGACCGTTGTGAACAACAATTATTTAGTTTCCGTTTTTGCCCATTCCCTGAAAATTCAAATTCACAAATGACCGTTGCCTAATCTTCTCACTTTCTTCTTCTTAAATCCGTAGCCATTTTCATCTCACTCAAAACTCTCTCTCTCTCTCTCTCACTATCTATAAGACTATAACTTCAAAGTAGCAATTGAAGTCTTTAAGGAAATTTTCAAGAAAATGGCACTGAGGCCTATTGATAATGCGTTGCCCATAACAGCGGAACGACCCAAAAAGCAAGCCAAAATCTCCGTCCCGCCCCCTAAGGAGAAGCCCAATTTCGGTGTAAACGATGAAAACAATGTGCCTATGCCACCACCCATAACTGCAGATTCCTCCATTGACTATATCCCCTCTGAAAATCTCAAACCATTCCCTGATCCAGATTTGAAAATTCAGGTACTTCTATTTTTTTGGCCTTTTTGAATAATTTTCTGATTTAGAAATTCTTCAAAAAACAGATACTTTTGATTTTTTGCTTGTTTTTGTGTTTACTTATATGAAAGTTTTCAGGGTCTTGTTGGAGGGTTAGAGTCAAAAGATTGGTTGAAGGTTTGTGAATCATTGAATGATGCTAGACAATTGGCACTCTTTCACTCCGATATCCTGCTTCCAGATTTGTAAGCCACTTTTTCTTTAATATAGAGCACATTCGGCTCCGCTTAAAAGCACCATTTTTAGGTGCCAGCCGAAAAAATGATGCTTTCAAGCAGGTTAAATATGCTTTTAATTTTCATTTGTTAATGAATATGGGGATGTAGGGAAAAGGTGATGATGGTTATAGCGAAGGCTATGAAGAATCCAAGAAGTGCTTTGTGCAAGACCTCTATCATGGCTTCCTCAGATATCTTCAAGGCCTTTGGTGAAAAATTACTCGAACCCGGAATCTCTAACGTCTTCGACAATCTGGTACATAATTATGGATAATTTTGCCTTTTTCTTGGATACCACTAATTCTGCTCAAGTATAGGATAAGGTTTTGTTAAATGCTTGTAGAGAATTGCATAAAAAAATATTGACATTTTCCGCCTAAATAATGTCCATATGCTGTGCTTTTTCTTGGATAAACATTGTTACAATTGAGGTCTCTGATGTAAGATTTGCACCCCATCCCTACCCCTTCAGCTGTTGCAACTATTGCTGAAAGCTTCTCAAGACAAGAAATTTGTTTGTGAAGAGGCAGATAGGACACTGAAGACAATGGTGGAGTCCATGAGCCCTCTTCTTTTGCTTCACAAACTCCGGGCCTATGTCGGCCACTTTAATCTCAGAGTCAGAGCAAAAGCTGCTGTTTCAATTTCTAACTGTGTATCTAAGATGGTAAGTAGTATGAATGTTCAAGAGAAATTTGGGGTCAACTACATGAATCCCTTTTCTTTTTTTCACTTTGTTCGGCTTTCTGTGATATATTGTACTAGAAAATGTGTGATTTTTAGGACTTGGAAGGGATGAAAGAATTTGGGCTGGCGGAACTGATTCAAACTGCAGCAAATTTGTTAAATGACAAACTCCCCGAGGCAAGAGAGGCGGCTCGAAGTATTGTAATTTCGTCGTACGAAGCACTTGTAGAGAACGAAGAAGAGAAGCAAGAGTATTGGCAAAGCTTTTGCCAGTCTAATCTTCCAGCAATTCATGCACAAGCTATAGTCAAAATTGTTTCATCTTAGTTGGAAAATGAAACCATACCTCGATTTGTGATTATCTTTTTCTGTATTGTCCCTCAAAAGACTTATTTATTAGTTGGATCTGTAGTAGGTATTAGTAATATTGAAGTTGGAAGTAGCAGCTTATGTTCTGAAGATGAATTTAGGATTCCTTTCATGTAAATGACATGTTTTACATGATTTGTATGTGAGGGTAATAGTTTACTATTTTGGTATATGATCGTTTCCCTTAATTCTTAATTTTATTGTTCGCGAGTCTATGAATTAGACAAGTGTTAAAGAATGTAACAAAATTGCTCTAGCTTTGGTTATTTGATCCTCGAATCACAATTATTTTAATATATTCTCGACTTTGAAATCCCACTTTTAAATAAATTGAAAATTGTAATAAAAACCTAGTTCGAACAACTAGTTTTTATAGCACCTGGATCCGTTCCATCCATTTGACTTATTGACCATGAAAATATGTCTCTAGATCAAATCTAACGAGGGCAAAAAGATGCACGATTTTGCTACAGGTACATCACCCCTTGCACAAGGGGGTGATATAATGTCCAAGTTGCGCCTCTTCATTGGAGGGGCGCATCGGCCCACATGTGGAGCCTCGACACCCTTCCAATGAGGAGGTGCCACTTGGACATTATGTCACCCCTTGTGTAAGGGGTGATGTACAAGTAGCATTATTCCATGATAAATTCATAGTTATTCTGCATAAAATAACTAAAAAAATAAAAAGTAAAAGGAAAATGGAAGAACTGTTCATCTTCCTCAACCACC